CTCTAGAAACCCGTAAAACTCAATCGCGGGGTAAGCACGTGGTGTCTGGGCATGGCTAAGGTGTCTGGTCACGCCCACTGTTGCATAGCCCCGCCCCTACGCCAATGTGAAGATCGCAGCGACCAATCACAGCCCGTACACGTGGCCGTGATGAATAACGTCAGCAGATCACTCCTTCACGTACGCGTACGTCATCGGATTTGCTTTCTATTCCGTTCTGATGACGTACTTCAATGAAACAGAACCGGAACTAAAAAACAACCTGAAATAAAATAACTTTATAGGTACTGAGGCTCCCACGAGGCCATGCGGGAGGGCATGTGGCACACTTTTGACGCCGGCTATCGTAGAGTGCGGTTATGTCGCTACAGTTCTCCGCGGTGAGTACGACGTTCTTAAAAAAAACAACGGGGCTCCGCGCCTCTCGCAAAAAAATCAACGCCGAGCCACTCGCGCGCTTTCCGAGATTCAGTGGCGAACGCGGGAACACTCTGCCGCTTGCAGACGTCTCGGAATGGGAGAGGGGTTAACATTCGGCTTGTTTACCCAGGAAAGCCTCACTGGGATGCAGCCTTGCATGCGTGTGAGCACCGTCTTGCAGGTAGAAAGGCAGCACAGCGAGTAGGCGCGACGTCTTTTTTTTTTTTCCGGAGGGCGCCTCTGCCGAAGCTTCCCGCAGTACAGGCAGCGGCGGTCAATGCGCGCGCGTTAATTCCAACCGAGTCAAATTTAGCCGGTGCGATTTTTTTTTTTTCAAAACTGGACCGCGTCGCCGGCACGCGACCACGTCGGGGGGGGGAGGAGACGCGTAATGTCCGCTGCGAAGCGGCGCGCAAATTGTCAATACAGCCGCCTGATGGTGCCGGTTGTAATTGCTGGCGAAACGTCGTACTCCGATTGTAAATGTTGTGGATTTGCTCTCTCCAACACACCGGTGCAGTGCTGTACTAGTGACGAATTGGCCACGTTCCGCTTACGCGACAACCCTTGCTAGTTGGCCGTGTCGGGTGGTGGCGGGTTTAACGACACAACATTTATATATTTACGCGATCTAACCCAAAAAAAAACCTCTATTGTGGATGATGTTGGTCGCAAAAGCCCTCCGCGTGTTAAACTGACAGCCGCAGCGTTAACCGGGGCGGCCCACTGGAACCCGAACCACGAACATCTGCGGCAAGCGGGGAACGCGCTGCCGCTAGACCCGTCTGCTCGCAACCGGACGTAGAGATGTCCACATACGAGCAGTTCAGTTGCGTGCGACTGAAGTTGTATACCAAATTTGTATGCAACTGATCATTCAGGGTGTAGAGAACCCGGCGTCAGCGACCAGTTGTGAAACTGCTCACGATTGGGTTGCAGAGACATCGCATGCAAGCGATGCAGTTGCACGCAACCAAAGTTGCACGCAACTGAAGTTACACGCAACCGAAGTTGTATGCAACTGAAGTTGCACGCAACTGAAGTTGCACGCAACTGAAGTTGCACGCAACCAAAGTTGCACGCAACTGAAGTTGCACGCAACTAAAGTTGTATGCAACTGAAGTTGCACGCAACCAAAGTTGTACGCAACTGAAGTTGCACGCAACCAAAGTTGTATGCAACTGAAGTTGCACGCAACCAAAGTTGTATGCAACTGAAGTTGCACGCAACCAAAGTTGTATGCAACTGAAGTTGCACGCAATCAAAGTTGTATGCAACTGAAGTTGCACGCAACCAAAGTTGTACGCAACTGAAGTTGCACGCAACCAAAGTTGTATGCAACCGATCGTTCGATCGAGGTGTGGACCCGGCCATAAGGCAAAAAGTGCAACGCAACTTCGATAACAACGACAACAACAAAGCCCTGTAACGTAACAAACACAAAAGTGCATACCGTATATAATTGTTTCCCCCCCCCCCATCCCAAACAAAGTTGGATTGCAACTCCGTCGAAAAGCATCGGTAGTTTTTTGTTTGTTTGTTGTCCCGTCAAATTTGCATCCGCAAACAAATGCATCGTCATCATTATCAACAACAACAGCAGCAGCAGCAGCAGCAAAAAGATAACTTAAGCGGCTACTGCAAAGAGCATCACCGGATTTGACGACCGGCAAAGCGATGGTTCATCCGCGTCGCCTGGGCATGCATCTGGAAGAGTGAGAGATTATGGTTTCACGAGCAGCACTTCGCGACGGACTTACCGCAAAGGACCACAGCAAGCACCGTGGCATTTGAATAATTTCCTGCTTTTGTTTGTAAAATATCCGTATAATATATTGTAATATTTTTTTTTCATTTCCTTTTTTTTTAACTTGAAATATGTCCAACAGTGTACATCATTCTCGATAATAATTATAATAATTAATAAACACTACCCGCCCGCCGACACTTAAAACCTAAGTAGTGCTATATTTGTGCATGTGACTCTTATGATCAACATTACATCGTTATTATTAATGATGACGTCGTTACTATTAAGCAATTATATGTTTTTTTAATATTTAAATATACTCGTCGTCGAGAGTTTTCATACACGCGCGAGCGGCGCTTTTACCCCCCCCCCCCCCCGCCCCCCACACACAGCATCTTTACAAACCCCGCTGAGAGATAGAGCAGAGGACGAGTCTGGCCACGTGCTCCGCTAACGGCCCCAAAAAACCTTCACGGAAAGAAAGGGATACAAACCATCCACCGTTTTACGCCTCTTTCGCATCTATCCGTCTCTCCGCGCAATCCGAGCGAGCTTTGTTTTCCGTTGTGTTGTCCCCCCCCCCACCACCACGCGGCACGACGCATCGGCCACACGGCACCCCCGCTTGGGAGCGCATCGTTTGGGCCGCACCACGAGGGTGTTAGTTCTCGAGCGTGAATTATTTTGGCTGCTGCTATTAATGAATAAAAACGAAGATTTTTTTTGTTTTTTCCCCCCCTCCCCTTCCCCCCCCCCCGCGCGATGACGCGAACCCCCCACTTGTTGTTTTTCGATGGGTCTGGCCGATCTCGGGGAGATGAAAAAAAAAAGAGAGCTACAGAGCTCAGCGGGAGGGGGGGCGGGGGGGGGGGGCTTACGCGGTAAAATATAAAAACAAATTGTGGCAGTAGTTAATAGCTTGAGAGAAATAGCTTAAATAGTGTGAGAAATGTACATGTTTATTTTGATGCGCGGTCGGAAGACGTATCCCGTCCGATTCAATTATTTATCATCCTCAATTATTTCCTCGGCAACCGACGGCGATGGTTACTCGGAGCCGTTTGCCGACGCAGCTTCGCCACTCTGTAACCGGAGTTAAAAACCGATGGAACGCGAGCGACGCCGTCTTCTCTGGCACCCGGTGAGAACGCCGGCTGGCGCCGCTGCTGCTGCTGCAGACCTGGGTTCACAACCGAGTCCAGGCTGCGCCTGGTGCACAGGGCGAGTTGACGGCCCGAGACCCAGCGGCGACAGAGGTCCCCGATTGGCGATTACGAAATAGCCGCCCCCCAAACGAGACAAGCTTGGACAAATTCTCGAGGGACGGTGGTGGTTCCGAGTTGGGGCGGGGGGGGGGGTGGGTGGGTGGCGGGGTGGCCCAGGGCAGTGACGGGAATTCAAAAACGCGGAGCCGGCAATGCCGAGAAGCTGGGATCGCAGCGGTGAGTTTGGCGTTGGCGGTGCGGCGGGAGGGAGGGGGGGGACGCGTGGCACGGCGTTGCGCGCCCACCCCCCACCGCAGCCGTGCCATTTGGTTCGGCCGTTGCTGTCGCCAGGGGGACGTCGCGGCGTGTTGAAGGCACACGCTGGACGGCGACGACGGGCGGAGACGCACGGGGAGACGGACACACGGGGAGACGGACACACGGGGAGACGGACACACGGGGAGATGGACACACGGGGAGACGGACACACGGGGAGACGGACACACGGGGAGATGGACACACGGGGAGACGGACACACGGGGAGACGGACACACGGAGAGACGGACACACGGGGAGACGGACACACGGGGAGACGCACGGACGGACGGACACACGGGGCGATTGGGCTGCGTTCGAATGCCCCCGCACGCCTCTGCGGTTCCGGCAACTGACGTGCCAACGGACCGGGTTACGCCGCAGGGGCGCATGCACACACACACACGCACACACACGCACACACACAAGCGCACACACAGACGCACGCACACGCACGCACACGCACGCACACACACACGCACACACACACGCACGCACACGCACACACACGCACACGCACGCACACACACACACACGCACACACATACACACGCGCGCACACGCACGCACACACGCACGCACACACGCACGCACGCGCGGGGGGAGTGCGGGGGATGAGTCGTACGGACGGAGATCCATCCGTGACATCCGCGAGGGAACGTGTTTGTTTGGATGGCTGAGTATCCTCTGGGTGTCTGAGTGGCTGGTGGATTTGGCTCCGTTCTGGGTAGCTCTCGGGGTGGCTGTTTGGCAGGCTGGGTGACTGACCTGGGGGCCGGCCGGCCGGCTGGCTGGCTGGCTTGGTGGCTGGGTGGGTGAGTGAATGGTCGGTCAGCCAGAAAGCTGGGTGGTTGGCTGATTGTCTGTCTGGCTGGGTGATTGTCCATCTGGGTGATCGATTGGCTGCGTGAGTGTGGGATTGGATGAGTGTCTATCTGAGTGTCTGCCGAGTGCCTATCTGAGTGTCTGTCGAGTGTGTGACTGAGTGTGACTGAGTGTCTATCTGGCTAAGTGTCTGCCTGAGTGTCTGTGTGGCTAAGTGTCTGTCTTTCTGAGTGTCTCTCCGGCTGAGTGTCTGTCTATCTGAGTGTCTGTCTGTCTGAGTGTCTGTCTGTCTGAGTGTCTGTCTGTCTGAGTGTCTGTCTGAGTGTCTGTCTGTCTGAGTGTCTGTCTGTCTGCGTGTCTGTCTGTCTGAGTGTCTGTCTGAGTGTCTGTCTGTCTGAGTGTCTGTCTGAGTGTCTGTCTGAGTGTCTGTCTGTCTGAATGTCTGTCTGAGTGTCTGTCTGTCTGAGTGTCTGTCTGTCTGAGTGTCTGTCTGAGTGTCTGTCTGAGTGTCTGTCTGTCTGAATGTCTGTCTGCGTGTCTATCTGTCTGAGTGTCTGTCTGTCTGAGTGTCTCTCCGGCTGAGTGTCTCTCCGGCTGAGCTCGTGGCCGGCCTTTGGCAGCAGCAGCAGCAGCAGTCCACTCCGCGTGGCCACCCTCACGCCCTCTTGGCCGGTGTGGCCGGGGTCTGTGCCACAGCGCCACCACCGTACGAGGTGGAGCAGTGTGGCCCCTCGGCGCCTCCGAGCGCTCCCCCCTCCGACTCCTCCCCTGCATCGCCTCCTCCCCCACCGACAGCACCCCCACAGCTCGAGCTGCTGCCTCCGTTGTTGTCGGCATGAGAGCGCCGGGGTGGTGGTGGTTGTTGTTGTTGTTGGTGGTGGTGGTGGTGGTGCACCGGCGTCCCCCCCGTGCCCGGAGCGCCCCGGCCATTACTCCGCTCATCTACGGTGGGGGGAGCGGGGGAGGGGAGGGGGAGCGGGGGAGAGGAAGGGGGGGGGGGTTCCACGATTCTTATTAAACTATTATTGTTATTAAACTGTTAACTATTAAACTGATCTTATTTCACCACGTAGCTCTTTTTCAGAAGCGACCTGGCCGTCACAAATGATAGCTCAGCTAAGTGGACTCGTCGTCATCGTCATCATCATCACGTGGACATTTATAGAAGGAGGCAAATACTCTAAACGCGTGGTGGTGACGTTGATTCTAATTGTGGAGGGGGAAAACCGGAGGACCCGGAGAAAAATCCACGCGACCACGGGGAGAGAGAGAGAGACACCGCAAACTCCAAATATACAGCAGCAGGCGTCAGAGGGTCGGGATCGAACCCACGACCTCCTGTATACCAGGCGAGGTAGTTAACATCTCATAGCTAACGCAGTGATGATGATCAGAGAGAGACACGCAAACTCCAAATATACAGCAGCAGGCGTCGTCAAGGTCGGGATCGAACCCACGACCTCCTGTATACCAGGCGAGGTAGTTAACATCTCATAGCCACCGTGATGATGATGAGAGAAACGCAAACTCCAAATATACAGCAGCAGCAGCAGGCGTCAGGGTCGGGAACGAACCCACGACCTCCTGCATACCAGGCGAGGTAGTCAACATCTCGCAGCCACCACGGATTTGAGGCTCAACCCTTTAGCAATCCACTGCTGGATGAAGGCCTCTCAAAGTCGGTCGGCGGGGAGTGGCGACGCTGCCGCGCTACGAACCCGGCCCGCCCCGAGTTCGATTCCCGCTCACGGCCACTAACGTTGGCGATCCTGTGCCTCCCCTAGGTGGGCTCGGCCTCAAATGCGTGCGACCTGCACCAAGCGTCGCCTCTGCAATGCTGGATGACTTCAGGCAGCCACGCCGCGTGTAGCCGCCACCGCTCCCCGGCCGTCAAGCCGGGGAGCGGTGGGCCCGGCGCGCCAGGTTTTAGTTTGTTCCACGCGTAGGAGGCTTTTGCGACCAATATAGTGTCCATAATATAGTTGTTTTTGGGGATTGGATCGCGTGAGTATCAATGTGTCGTTAAACCCCTGGCTGCTCCCCCTCCTCTTACCCTATATAACAGTCTATCATCACAAATAACTCTCTCTACAGTTCTAGATTTGAAGCTTTCGTGACTGCAAGGATCCATACTCTTTGGTTCTATTCGGTAAAGTCACGTGGGTAAAAAATAAAACAACAAAAATCACGACGTTTCGGCCACAACACAAGTGGCCTTCATCAGGTGAAGGGACCAGACTGTCTAGAGGACAGTGCTGGAGTGAACACAGCCAAGCTCAGACCGCGACCTTTAAGCTGAGTTATTTTGCTGTGCCCTTTTTTACACCTGATGAAGGAAGCTTGTGTTGCCTCCGAAACGTCGTGATTTAATTTAGTTGTTTTCATTCATTTTAATGTTTTTACCTACGTGACGTTAACGAATAAAACCAAAGAGTATGAATCCTTGCAGTCACGAAAGCTTCAAATCTAGAAGTGAGGGGTTTGTCACGTAAACCGAATTTGCCAATCCGTCACTATTTTTCTTGGTTCTTTCGGTAAATTCACGTAGAAGGGAAACAACAAAATAACAAATCGCTCTCCGTGGTGCTGACGTTAAAAATAACCGCCACTCTTTTTCAAATTTTCTTGCTGTGGTTTTCACACCTGATGATGATTGCTTGCGTTGCAGTTGAAACGTCGTGAGAATTTTATTGTTTTATCATTTTTATTATTTTGTTGTTTTCCTTCTACGTGGTGACTTTAGCGAAAGAACCAAGAATATGAATCCCTGCAGTCACGAAAGCTTTAAATCAAAATTCGTTACCAGTTCAGCAGCACCGGTTGTGCATTGGAGAGTAAACCCACAACAGTTACAATTCGGGTACCGTGACGTTTCGCCAGGAATCACGATGCATAAACATTAACGCGATCTAGCCCACAAAAAACCCCCAATTATGTGAAGGTTTTAAGTTTCATATTGCGAAACATTTATCATTTTAATACATTTAATTTATTTGGACACTTTTTGTCGTTGCCGTTACACGGTGCATCAGCGGTTCGAGATCTACTTTGTATTCTGGGTTCTTGAACAGCAATAAAGGATTTCTTTTTTTAATTTCTAAACGGCGCATCGGCCGGCGGAGACGTCGCCCACGCCCACTCACCGCTGAGCTGCTGCACGCACGGCTGGTCGTGGGAGTGGACAAGCTGCGCCTGGATCACCTCCACCACCTTGCGGAACCTCCGGTTGGGTCCTGCGTGGCCACACGGGGGGCGGGGGGGTGTGGGGGCGGAAGGGTGATGCCCACGCGGCAGACAAACCCCCCCCGAGCTCCCGTAGCTCCAGCGGGCACCGGGGACGACGGCGTTGACCCGTGTCTGCGAGCAGGCAGGAGGCGTTTGGCGAGTTGGGCGTACGACACGGCTTCTTGTACCTACGATAAGTGTGTGGTTCTCCGTTGGCTTGGACGGCGCGTGCGCGCTTCCGTATGGTACGTGCGTTCAACTTCTTTCGCACCGTACGTAGCCAACCGTGCTCGTCGGAGGTGCGCGGGGGGGGGGGGGGGGAAGGACGACACAAACTGAACGCTAAAAGCAGTTCTAAAGGGATGGGTTTGTCAACCTAGGTGAAGATTTACAAGTGCACAGCTCCAGTGGCTTGTTAATATCGGAAGGAAGAGAGCGTTCCAGACGGCCGCAGAAGCGCTTCCGAAAGCGCCGCGCGGCGTTGCGGTGACCGCCGCCGCCTTTGTTCGACGGCTCAGCCAAAAGCCGCCGCCGCTGCTGCCGCTGCTACTGCTGCTGCTGCTGCAAGGATCACCGGAGTGTCACGTGTTGATGGTTTTATGCTTCTTGACGAGATCGGCGAGGTATCGCGCCGCAGTCGTGGCAAGCGCTCTGTGTGGACAATGGGCTGCGACCTTTCGACGCTCTCTTGCGCTCGTTGTAAGTTCGGCAACGCGGGAGGGCGACGCTGCGCCTCTCGCTCGTTCGGCGCGCTGAAAAGCGGGATGAACGGCGGTCTTCGTGGAAATGACGGAGTTGCTGTTTAAGGGAAATGGATCTAATGGGGCTGCCCATCACTTGTGTAGATTTGTATCAGGGGGCAAAGTGTTGGGTTGGGGGTCAGAGTTCACCTGAGATGAGGGTAAAGGTCACGGAGTAAATTCCCTCCTTGTGGCCAGACCCTCCGCCGGAGAAGGTGATGTCAACCTGCAGCAAAGACAAAGATCCCCCGTGCAGCCTCATCAGCCTGCTGGGGCAAGTGCTGCTAGCGAGCAGCTATAAAGGCCGGAACAGCACGCGACGGGGTGGGGTTGCTAGCACCACACACGGCCGCCTTTGTCTCCCCAGTGGCGATGTTTGCGTACCAGACCTGATGCTCATTTGAGGCTGAGTCGACCTAGGGGATGCCCGGGACCGATTAAAATATTCATCACTGGGCATGTATTCATCACACTCACCCACTCTCTAACTCACTCACCCACCCACTCACCACACTGCAGACCACCTCACTGCTCCACTTTGGAATTCACTCTTCCAACATCATCATCATCGTCATTGTCGTCTCTCTAGCCCCAAGCTCTTACAACAAAAACAACAACAACAACAACAACCACCTCGCCCAATTAGCACGTTACATTTTTGAGTCTAAACTGTCGTGACTGCAGGCACTGGCAGAGCCAGTGTGGGGGGGGGGGGTGGCACGTGCCCCCCCAATGATCCGATCAAAATCCCTAATTTCAATCGGATCATTGGGGTTTATTAGTAATCAATCGGCATTTTGCGACCCCCAATGCCACTGTGTAGCAGATTGTCACGTGCCAGGGACTCTATGAGATGATAGGACAATAGTGCGAGTCCATAATTGGCAATAAGTAACGGCAAAGCGGTTATAAGTGACTCAGAATTGTGCGCAGTTGCGTATACAGTCCACGACTTCCCTGAAGGCATCGACACCTTCAGCGAGCGAGATGCCGATCACACAACGCGGTTCGAATCGACCCTCGATCGATGTCTGCGTCATCGCCGCACACGCCTCGAGTAACAAGCAAGGGACAAGTCCTTACTAACAACTCCTTACTTACTAACAACTCCTTACTCACTAACAACTCCTTACTTATTACTAACAACTCCTTACTCACTAACAACTCCTTACTTACTAACAACTCCTTACTTACTAACAACTCCTTGCTAACAACTCCTTGCTTACTAACAACTCCTTACTTACTAACAACTCCTTACTCACTAACTCCTTGCTTACTAACAACTCCTTACTTACTAACAAGCCCTTGCTTGCTAACAACTCCTTGCTAACAGCTCCTTACTTACTAACAACTCCTTACTAACACGTCCTTACTTACTAACAAGTCCTTGCTTGCTAACAACTCCTCACTCACTAAAAACCCCTTACTAACAACTCCTTACTTTCTAACAACCCCTTACTAACAACTCCTTACTTACCAACAACTCCTTACTAACAACTCCTTACTTACTAGCAACTCCTTACTTACTAACAACGCCTTACTAACAATTCCCTACTTACTAACAACTCTTCACTCACTGACAACTCCTTACTTGCTAACAACTCTTCACTCACTAACAACTCCTTATTTACTAACAACTACTTACTAATAACTCCTTACTAACAACTCCTTACTTGCTAACAACTCCTTACTTACTAACAACTCCTTACTTACAACTCCTTGCTTGCTAACAACTCCTTACTTACTAACAACTCTTCACTCACTAACAACTCCTTAATTGCTCATAACTCTTCACTCACTAACAACTCCTTACTTACTAACAACTCCTTACTTGCTAACAACTCTTCACTCACTAACAACTCCTTACTCACTAACAACTCCTTACTTACTAACAACTCCTTACTTACTAACAACTCTTTACTAACAACTCCTTACTCACTAACAACTCCTTACTTACTAACAACTCCTTACTTACTAACAACTCTTTACTAACAACTCCTTACTCACTAACAACTCTTCACTCACTAACAACTCCTTACTTACTAACAACTCCTTACTTACTAACAACTCCTTACTTACTAACAACTCTTTACTAACAACTCCTTACTCACTAACAACTCCTTACTTACTAACAACTCCTTACTCACTAACAACTCTTTACTAACAACTCCTTACTTACTAACAACTCCTTACTTACTAACAAGTCCTTACTTACTAACAACTCTTCACTCACTGACAACTCCTTACTCACTAACAACTCCTTACTCACTAACAACTCCTTACTTACTAACAACTACTTACTTACTAACTCCCATCAGCTCCTTGCTAACAACTCCTTACTAACAACTCCTTACTTACTAACAACTCCTTACTTACAACTCCTTGCTTACTAACAACTCCTTGCTTACTAACAACTCTTCACTCACTAACAACTCCTTACTTGCTAGCAACTCTTCACTCACTAACAACTCTTCACTCACTAACAACTCCTTACTTACTAACAACTCCTTACTTGCTAACAACTCTTCACTCACTAACAACTCCTTACTCACTAACAACTCCTCTGTCATATTTTATTGCTGGGGGGGGGTTGCAGACGGACGGAGGTCCGGACCGGTCAGACGTTTGAGTGCCACCCCCTCTCACCTGGAACTTGACGGGCTTCTGGAAGACGACGGGGCTTCCGGTACACTTGTACTCGGCGCGGAAGCTCACCTGTGACACCACGCTGTGGCTCAAGCTGGGGATCTGCGGCACAAAGACAAAGATGCCCCGTGTAGCCTTAAGCGACTGTTGGGGCAAGTGCTGTTAGGGGGTAGCAGCACCCGCGGGGGGGGGGGGGGTGGGCAAACGCCACACTCGCTCACCCACATTCGCTCACCCACACTCGCTCACCCACGCGCTCACCCACGCGCTCACCTACACTCGCTCACTCACACTCGCTCACCCACACTCGCTCACCCACGCGCTCACCCACACTCGCTCACCCACGCGCTCGCTCACTCGCACTCGCTCACTCCCACACGCTCACTCACACTCGCTCACCCACACTCGCTCACCCACACGCTCACCCACACTCGCTCACCCACACTCGCTCACCCACGCGCTCACTCACACTCGTTCACCCACACGCTCACCCACACGCTCACCTACACGCGCTCACCCACACGCTCACCTACACGCGCTCACCCACACGCTCACCCGCACTCGCTCACCCACGCGCTCACTCGCACTCGCTCACCCACGCGCTCACTTGCACTCGCTCACTCCCACACGCTCACTCACACTCGCTCACCCACATGCTCACTCCCACTCGCTCACCCACTCGCTCACTCGCACTCCCACACGCTCAATCACACTCGCTCACTCACACTCGCTCACTCACACGCTCACCCACACGCTCACCCACACTCGCTCACACACACTCCTCCACTCGCACTCGCTCACCCACACTCTGACACACACTCGCTCACCCACACTCGCTCACCCACACGCTGACACACACTCGCTCACCCACACGCTGACACACACTCGCTCACCCACACGCTGACACACACTCGCTCACCCACAGGCTCACTCACACTCGCTCACCCACACTCGCTCACCCACGCGCTCACACTCGCTCACCCACACGCTCACTCACACTCGCTCACCCACACGCTCACTCACACTCGCTCACCCACATGCTCACACACACTCGCTCACTCACACTCGCTCACCCACACTCGCTCACACACACACGCTCACTCACACTCGCTCACCCACGCGCTCACTCGGGATGTGGGGGGAGGGGGCTGGGGGGGTGGGGGTGGAGGGGCTAGGGGGGTGTGGGGGGGTGGAGGGAGGTGCGGGTGAGGGTGTAGGGGGGTGGGGGTGGAGGGGGGTGGGGGGAGTGTAAGTGTGGAGGTGGGTTGGAATTAGGGTGTAGGGGGGTGGGGGTGGAGGGGGGTGAGGGTGGGGGTGAGGGTGGGGGTGAGGGTGGGGGGTGAGGGTGGGGGTGGAGGGGGGTGAGGGTGGGGGTGAGGGTGGGGGGTGAGGGTGGGGGTGAGGGTGGGGATGGGGGTGGGGGGTGAGGGTGGTGGGGGTGGCCCTCACAGACAGGAAGGCGTGCACGAGGTCGGCCTTGATGGAGCTGATGGGTTTGTCCCGCACCACAATGAGGACCTGCTCCTCCCGCTCGGCGCCGATGAAATTACCGAACCACGAGCGCTTGGCCAGCCTGCGGCGGCACCGCAACCACCACCACCACAACCACAGCAGGCACAACAACAACGACCACGACAATCTATTAGGACTGTCCACCGGCAGCAGCAGCAGCAACAGCAACACGACTCACTACATAATGGAGGAATTGTTGGCTTAGATCGCGTAAATATACGTGTCGTCACACCCACCACCACCCGGCACAGCCAACTAGTGAGGGTTTGTCACGTAAGCAGAACGTGGCCAACTCGTCACTGGTACAGCACGCCGGTTGCCTGTTGGAGAGCACAGCCACGTCATTGATCAAATCTGAGTACGACGTTTTGCCAGTAATTACAACCGGCACCATCAGGCGACAGCCAGAGTTTGTTGGAGAAGTCCACCAGTTTCGTTCCTTAAATAAAAAAAGGCGTAGGTGTGATGACGTCGCTCGCGCGCTCTCCTTGCGCGGAGTCTTAGACGACTCACGACCTTGTCCACCTCCTCTTCAACCTCCCTCCACCCCCTCCTCCTCCTCCTCCTCCTCCTCCTCTCCGCGCCGACCAGCCGGGCCAAGATCACTGCCGGGCGTCGTTTCACCGATTTATCGGAGACACCGAAATGCACCGCGCCTCTTCCCCCCCCCCACCCCCTCCGGCTTTTGAGCGACAACTTGACGCTTGGTAAAGTCCAGGGGTTCTTCTTCTTCTTTGTGGGAATCGGCAACAACACAAACGCCGCGTGAAATGCGCCCTCCGGGCCTCTGGAGATCGCCTGGAGGAGATCCCAGGGCACACATTGACGGCGAACACGCGGGGGTGGGGGGGGGGAAGGGGAGACTCTTTGACTTCTTGAAGCTGTTGACAACATTACATTTGTTATCGTTTTCTCTTTTCTTCTTTCGGCAAAAGTCACGTAGGTATAAAATAAAATGAATCGCGACGTTCCGGGCGCAACACAAGCGTCCGTCATCAGGTGGGAAAGCCGTGGTCTGCTGCTGAGGCAGACTGTTTTTAAAAGGTTTGAAATGGGTGTAGCCCAAGGGTCATAAAGAAGTGGTCGGGGGTAGTTATGTTAATGTGAGAAAACAGATTCCTGCGGAGGGAGCTGGTAGGAACGTTGGGTTGCTCGGTCAATGGCCAGGGTCAACGGCGGCACCACGTGGTGTATTCCGCAAATATGCCCGACTGTGAGGGCGGGCACAAGCCGGCGTGAGTAGGTTAAACGTTGAGTTTTATAAGGGCACCACGGGGTGACCAGCCCCTCCCCACCCAGCACCACCCCACCCAACCCCACCCCACCCCACCCAGCCCCTCCCCACCCAGCCCCACCCCACCCAACCCCACCCCACCCCACCCAGCCCCTCCCACCCAGCCCCTCCCCACCCAGCCCCTCTCCACCCAGCCCCTCCCTCCCGATCCAGCCCCTTCCCACCCGCCCCTCCCCACCCTCCCCTCCCCACCCTCCCCACCCTCCCCTCCCCACCCTCCCCACCCTCCCCACCCAGCCCCTCCCCTCCCCACCCTCCCCACCCAGCCCCTCCCCACCTTCCCCTCCCCACCCAGCCCCTCCCTCTGCACCCAGCCCCACCCCTCCCATTTCTGGATGCACGACGGACGGACGGACACAATAATCCCCTGTGGGCTGCTGGTGTAATAACCAGGAGGTTCCTACCAGTAATACTGCACTGTAACTGTAAGATAGAAGGAGAGCACCACCTAAACGAGGGCACGGAAGTGGCTATGTTCATGTGAGGGATTAGCGTGATGTTCAAGTGAGAAATTAGAGGGCATGCAAGTGGCTATGTTCATGTGAGGGATTAGCATGATGTTAATGTGAGAAATTAGAGGGCATGCAAGTGGCTATGTTCATGTGAGGGATTAGCGTGATGTTCAAGTGAGAAATTAGAGGGCATGCAAGTGGCTATGTTCATGTGAGGGATTAGCGTGATGTTCAAGTGAGAAATTAGAGGGCACGGAAGTGGCTATGTTCATGTGAGGGATTAGCGTGGTGTTCAAGTGAGAAATTAGCGGGCACGGAAGTGGCTATGTTCATGTGAGGGATTAGCGTGATGTTCAAGTGAGAAATTAGAGGGCACGCAAGTGGCTATGTTAATGTGAGGGATTAGCATGATGTTCAAGTGAGAAATTAGAGGGCACGGAAGTGGCTATGTTCATGTGAGGGATTAGCGTGATGTTCAAGTAAAAAATTAGAGAGCACGGAAGTGACTATGTTCATGTGAGGGATTAGCGTGATGTTAAAGTGAGAAATTAGAGGGCATGCAAGTGGCTATGTTCATGTGAGGGATTAGCATGATGTTCAAGTGAGAAATTAGAGGGCATGCAAGTGGCTATGTTCATGTGAGGGATTAGCGTGATGTTCAAGTGAGAAATTAGAGGGCATGCAAGTGGCTATGTTCATGTGAGGGATTAGCGTGATGTTCAAGTGAGAAATTAGAGGGCATGCAAGTGGCTATGTTCATGTGAGGGATTAGCGTGATGTTCAAGTGAGAAATTAGAGGGCACGGAAGTGGTTATGTTCATGTGAGGGATTAGCGTGATGTTAATGTGAGAAATTAGAGGGCACGGAAGCGGCTATGTTAATGTGAGGGATTAGCGTGATGTTCAAGTGAGAAATTAGAGGGCACGGAAGCGGCTATGTTAATGTGAAGGATTAGCGTGATGTTAATGTGAGAAATTAGAGGGCACGGAAGTGGCTATGTTCATGTGAGGGATTAGCGTGATGTTAATGTGAGACATTAGAGGGCACGCAAGTGGCTATGTTAATGTGAGCGATTAGCGTAATGTTCAAGTGAGAAATTAGAGGGCACGGAAGCGGCTATGTTAATGTGAGAACAAAGCATGTAACTGTAGATAGCAGACCACGCTATCCCACCTGATGACGGATGCTTGTGTTGCGCCCGAAACGTCGTGATTTATTTTATTTTCTACCTACGTGACTTTACCGAATGAACCAAAGAGGATGGATTCCTGCAGTCACGAAAGCTTCAAATCAAGATTTGTTATCGTGTTACAGTCTATTATTATTATTATCCGTCCTTTTGCCATTAAAAACGATAGCCCCATGTGAGTGCCAACACTTTTTTGAAGCACCCTGCATTGAACACTGAGCGGCGGTGACGTCACAACGGCGCTCGTGCCAGGCTAGGTGCACTTTTGAGGCCGTCACGTGAAAGTGTGAAGGCTGTCGCTACCGGCAGGAGGAGGTCACAGGGGAGATCACGGGGCAGACCCCGGGGGTGTTAAGGGTTTAGTTGACCGAGACAAATGACAGGTCCACACGCGCACACACACACACACAAAGACAAAGACAAAGATCCCCCGTATAGCCTTAACAGACTGTAGGGGCAAGTGCTGTTAGCGAGCACCTATGAAGGCCGGAACGGTACACGAGGGGGTGGGTGGCCAGCACCACGCCCGACCGCCTTTGTCTCCCTAGTGACGATGTTTACACACCGCACCAGGTACTCATTTGAGGCTGAGTCGACCTAGGGGAGGCCCGGGGCCGGTTCAGATAATCGTCACTGGTGTTGGCCGAGAGCGGGAATCGAACCCGGGTCGCCAGGTTCATAGCGCAGCGCGCTAACCGCTACACTACCGCTCCCCACACACACACGCACACACACACACACGCGCGCGCACACACAACACACCTAAACAAGGCACACGCAGACATACGCGGACAGGCACGGACACATGTACGTACAGGTAGACATGCAGACAGGCACAGGCACACAAAGGACAACGAAGACAAAGACTCCCCGTGTAGCCTTAACAGACTGTTGGGGCAAGTGCTGTTAGCGAGCACCACGCCCGACCGCCTTTGTCTCCCTAGTGTCGGTGTTTACACATCACACCGGGTACTCATTTGAGGCTGAGTCCAGGACCATGTTCAGATAATCGTCACCGGTGTTGGCCGTGAGCGGGAATCGAACTTGGGGTCGCTGAATTCGTCGCGCGGTACGCTAACCGCTGTGCCACCGCTCCCCACGTACACACAGACACGTGACACACAGACACGTGACACACAGACACGTGACACACAGACAAACACGACACACACACACACGTAGGAGAGGTATACTGAATATGGTGTGCCGCGTTGGGAAATGTGCTTTGGGTGCGACACTCACTCGGGTGAGGAGTCCGGGGTGAGGCCTGACATCTCCTCCTGCGTGGGAACTGTGGGAACACGCGGCGCGGTGACATCGCAACCACCAAAATAAAGACAAAGATCCCCCGTGTAGCCTGTAACAGACTGTCGGGGCAAGTGCTGCTAGCGAGCACCCACGTAGGCCGGCACGGCACACGAGGGGGTGGCTGGCCGGCACCACGCCCGGCCGCCTTTGTCTCCCCTAGTGGCGATGTTTATACACCGTACCAGGTACTCATTCAAGGATGAGTCGACCTAGGGGAGGCCCAGGACCGGTTTAGATAATCGTCGCCCGTGTTGGCCGTGAGCGGGAATCGAACTCGGGTCACCGGGTTCGTAGCGCAACCACGACAACCACCACCACAACGACCACAACCACCACAACCACCACAACCACCGCAATAGCTGTGGTGTCACCACTACGGCATCACAGCCACTCACACACTCAGCTATCCAACCACTCGCTCTCACATATAACCTAACCGATCACTCACACACACAACTATGAAACAACTCACTCACCAAACAACCCACTCATCCACACTCTCACCTCTCACAAACCCACTCACTCAACCACCCACCCACTCACCCACCTACCTCCTCAACTTTACTCTTACCTACTCAGCTTTCAGCTGGCTCACCCACTCACCCACTCAACTACCCACTAACTCACCTACTCAATCACCCACTAACTAACCCACTCACTCAACCACCCACTAACTAACCCACTCACTCAACCACCCACTAACTCACCTACTCACTCACCCAACCACCCACTAACTAACCCACCCACTCAACCACCCACTAACTAACCCACTCACTCAACCACCCACTAACTCACCTACTCACTCACCCAACCACCCACTCAACCATCAAGTCACCCATACACTCATCCACCACCTGCCCACCCGCCCGCCCGCCCGCTCGCCCACCCAAAACCGCCCACTCACCCGCCTGGCCACCCACTCAACTACCTGCCCACCCACCTGCCTGGCCACCCACTCAACTACCTGCCCACCCACCTGCCTGGCCACCCACTCAACTACCTGCCCACCCACCCGCCTGGCCACCCACTCACCTACCTGCCCACCCACCCACCTGGCCACCCACTCAACTTCCTGCCCACCCACCCGCCTGGCCACCCACTCACCTACCTGCCCACCCACCCGCCAAGTCACTCAACCACCCACTCGCCCACCGAACCCGCCGCCCGCCCGCCCGCCCGCCCACCTTGCAGCTTCCTGCGGTGGAAGCGCGGCGAGCCCAGGAAGGTGTGCTTGAACGAGTGCAGCCGGTTCCTCCAGAGCGCCCCTCCGCCCCCGCCGGCGCCCACGCTGGGGCTGGAGGGGGGGGTGTTGGCCGGGGACAGCGCCTGCAGGGGGCTGTCGGAGCCTCCGCCGCCGCCGCCGCCGCCGCCCCCCGCCGCCGGCGGCGGCGGCGAGCGCCGGCTGGCCGTGCGGAGTCAGCGGCGCGTGCGCCGGGCTCCCCGGGGAGGGCAGCAGCGTGACCTGCGGCAACACAAACCGGGGGATGACGCCGGCGGAGAAGGCCGCCGCTCCGCCGCCGCCGCCGCCGCCGCCGGCCGAGGCGGCCGAGGCTTTCTTGCGGCCTGGCGGCGGCAGGGAGAGGCGCAGCGGCGCCACGTGGGGGCCCCGCGCCCCTTCGACGGAGGAGGACGAGGAGGAGGAGGCGTCGCGCGACGACCCGGGGGGCCCCGTCCTGACGCCGGGGCCCCCGACGGTTGGAGGAGCCGAGGAGGGCCCGGAAGGAGGTGACGACGAGGGGCGGGCCGAGGCCGCCGCCGCCGTCGTCGTGGCGATGGCGGGAGACGCCGGAGGGGATTCGCCGTTGACGTCCGGCTCGGAGAGGCTCTGAGATTTCTCCCAAGTGTCGGGGGACAGGTGGGGTTTCCAGAAGGGCTGGGACCGAGGTAAAAGCGGCGGTGGTGGTGGCGGTGTTGAGGTTTTTTTTTTATTGGGGGGTGGGGGGGAGAGGGGATTTGTGTTGTCGGTGCCGGTGGGGGGTGGGGGGTCAGGGTTAAGTGGGGGTCAGGGTTAAGGGGGTGAAGGGGTTCGGCGTGCGTGGTAAGTGCGAGCGTGGAAAGTGCGCCGGCCGGCGGCGGGGAGGGGGAAAAGAACAATTTGATTGCATTCCAGGGTGGCGTCGCAGGAAAGTGGGGTCAGAATCGGGGGCGGGGGGAGGGAGTGGCAAAAATGTGCGACAGACGGGGGGGGGGGGGGTGAAGCACAGCGTGGGGTTTGTTTGGTGGTACATTAAGCGGAAAAATACAGGAACGGAGGAGGAGGAGGAGGAATGGGAGACATGGAGAATGAGGTTAGATCCATGGAGCGCACCGATGGAATAATAATAATAATTAAAAAATGAAACGTGGAGAGAGAACCGCGGCCCTCGCGACTCCCGGCACCACGCGAAGGTTCCCGGGGTCACGCGACGCCAACCTTCTCCGGCGGAAATTCCACGTTACTCGGACAGGTTCGTCGATAATGCACGCTCCACCACAGACTCAACACTGCCCACATACTCAACACTGCACCATAGACTAAACACTGCCCATAGACTCAACACTGCCCATAGACTCATCACTGCACCATAGACTCAACACTACCCATAGACTCAACACTCCCCATAGACTCAACACTGCACCATAGACTCAACACTGCCCATAGACTCAACACTACCCATAGACTCAACACTCCCCATAGACTCAACACTGCACAATGGACTCAACACTGCACCATAGACTCAACACTGCACCATGGACTCAACACTGCCCATAGACTCAATACTGCACCATGGACTGAACACTGCCCATAGACTCAATACTGTACCATAGACTCAGCAACACTGCACCATAGACTCAACACTGCACCATAGACTCAACACTGCACCATAGACTCAACACTGCCCGTAGACTCAACACTGCCCATAGACTCAACACTGCCCGTAGACTCAACACTGCCCATAGACTCAACACTGCACCATAGACTCAACACTGCCCATAGACTCAACACTGCACCATAGACTCAACACTGCCCATAGACTCAACACTGCACTATAGACTCAACACTGCCCATAGACTCAACACTGCCCATAGACTCAACACTGCACCATAGATTAAACACTGCCCATAGACTCAACACTGCCCATAGACTCAACACTGCACCATAGACTAAACACTGCCCATAGACTCAACACTGCCCATAGACTCATCACTGCACCATAGACTCAACACTACCCATAGACTCAACACTCCCCATAGACTCAACACTGCACCATAGACTCAACACTGCCCATAGACTCAACACTGCACAATGGACTCAACACTGCACCATAGACTCAACACTGCCCATAGACTCAACACTGCACCATGGACTCAACACTGCCCATAGACTCAATACTGCACCATAGACTGAACACTGCCCATAGACTCAATACTGTACCATAGACTCAGCAACACTGCACCATAGACTCAACACTGCACCATAGACTCAACACTGCACCATAGACTCAACACTGCCCGTAGACTCAACACTGCCCATAGACTCAACACTGCCCGTAGACTCAACACTGCCCGTAGACTCAACACTGCACCATAGACTCAACACTGCACCATAGACTCAACACTGCCCATAGACTCAACACTGCACCATAGACTCAACACTGCCCATAGACTCAACACTGCACTATAGACTCAACACTGCCCATAGACTCAACACTGCCCATAGACTCAACACTGCCCATAGACTCAACACTGCCCATAGACTCAACACTGCCCATAGACTCAACACTGCCCATAGACTCAACACTGCCCATAGACTCAACACTGCCCATAGACTCAACACTGCCCATAGACTCAACACTGCCCGTAGACTCAACACTGCACATAGACCCAACACTGAACCATAGACTCAACACCGCCCATAGACTCAACACTGCCCGTAGACTCAACACTGCCCGTAGACTCAACACTGCCCATAGACTCAACACTGCCCACAGACTCAACACTACCCAGAGACTCAACACTGCCCAATGACTCCACACTGCATCATAGACTCAACACTGCCCCAGTACATGAAGCAGTCCCCCTCCTTAACCTCGTTCCGTTCCTCTCTCAAAGCCTCACCACCTCTTCTCCATCATCGCCCACTCCCTTCCTCATCCCTTCCCTCATCCCTCCACTCCTTCCCTTCCCTCCCCTACCCTTACCATCAAAATAATTCTGGCAATTATACTGGTCGTTATTTTAACTACGTTAAGAGACTTAAACAAAGGGGCTCTATAAATATATAATAAGAGAACGACGCCAAATTATTTCATGGAAATTATTTTGACTTCACTGGACGGAGGGAGCTCTGGATTTACTTTCCAATACACCGGTGGTGCTGGCCCTGTAACTTATTAGCACGTTCTGTTTACTAATCGTCTGTGTCGGGTGGTGGCGGTTTAAGCGACACATTTATATTTACGTGATATAACCCCCCCCAAAAAAAGCCTCTATAACGGAGCTCCCTCTAGAAACAATAACATATTTATTTTTTGGCGTCCGTCCTGCTGACGCCGGCGCTGGTGGTGACGGTGGGTGGGCCGCGCGGAGATTTACCTTGGGACTGCTGATGGGACTGGAGGCCAAGCACGAGGAGGCTCCACTCACGGAGCGAGACCTGCCGACGAGAAACGCGCACACACACACACACACGCACGCACGCAAAGTCATAGATGCCCCCCGCCCCCCCCCCCCAGTACAGCCTCACAACAGAGTGTCGGGGCAAGTGCCCCCCAGTGAACAGCGCCTACGAATACCGGAACGGCGCGGGGGGGGGGGGGGGGGTCCCGGTGGCACCACGCCTGGCCGCCCTCTTCTCACGACTATCTACGCACGGCAGCAGGTGCTCGTTCTTAAGGCCGAGTCGACCTAGGGGAGGCCCCGGACCGGTTCAGATATCCGTCCCGTGGCGTCGGTGGTTCGCGAGCAGGAATCCAACTCCTTGTCGCCGGGGGTTTCGTCGCGCAGCGCGCTAACCGCTGTGCCGCCGCTCCCCGCACACTTGCACGCACGTGGCAGGACGCCTCTTGAGACTCGGCGAGCCCCTTTCTGGCTGTAAACCCGGGTGCAACGGTGTCACGTGCGGGTCTCCACCGCCGGCGGTGCCGACGATCCCTCATCGATTTCCGAGTTGGGGCCGCGTGAGCCACGTGACCCCGATTTGTGACGATCGGCGCGTGCCGAGCCGTCGCCGTGACGATCGGCGCGTGCTGAACCCTGGCGGCGGAAGCGGCGGCGGCGGCAGCCAAGCCGTCGATCAGCGGGGGCCGCCCGTTACCGACGCTCTTCACTGGGCGCGACGATGCTCCGTGGGGCAGTGCCAGGCTGAGCTCTGAGCTGCTAATAACCGAAAATAAGTTTTTTTTACTGCACCAGGTAAGGCCCCCCACTGAGCTACGTAGCTCTTTTTCAGAAGCGACCTGGCTATCACAAACGACAGCTCAACTAAGTCGCTTGCCACGTGGACATTTGGAGCAGCCGAAAACTCTTAAACGCGTGATGTTGATTCTAAATGCGGAGTGAAAAAGCGCAGGGCCCGGAGAAAATTTCACGCGACCACGGGGAGAGAGAGACAGGCAAACTCCAAATATACAGCAGCAGCAGGCGTCAGAGTCGGGATCGAACCCACGACCTCCTGCACACCAGGCGAGGGAGTTAACATCTCCTAGCCACCACGGGCACCCGACCGTCCCTACGTGGTGCCACAGTGACTAAGCACCGCTCCACGCGGGGCGGCCTGCCGGCTTCCGTTCCGCTCACGACGCCGGCGGCCATGCCGGGTGGCAGAGGGCCCCCTCACAGCGACAACACAACTCTGGGCGCCGGCTTCCGTTCGTTCCAACGTCGGGCGTGACGACGACAACACCAGAGAGCGAGAGATAAAGAGAGTGATAGAGAGAGAACGAGAGAGAGAGCGAGAGAGAGAGAGTGAGAGAGAGAGAGAACGAGAGAGAGAGAGCGAGAGAGAGAGAGTGAGAGAGAGAGAACGAGAGAGAGAGCGAGAGAGAGAGAGAACGAGCGAGAGAGATAAAGATAGTGATAGAGAGAGAGCAAGAGAGATAAAGAGAGTGATAGAGAGAGAGCGAGAGAGAGAGCGAGAGACAGAGAGAGAGAGCGAGCGAGAGAGAGAACGAGCGAGAGAGATAAAGAGAGTGATAGAGAGAGAGCGAGAGAGAGAGAGCGAGAGACAGAGAGAGAGAGCGAGCGAGAGAGAGAACGAGCGAGAGAACGAGCGAGAGAGATAAAGAGAGTGATAGAGAGAGAGCGAGAGAGAGAGCGAGAGAGATACAGAAAGTGAGAGAGGAGGAGAGAGAGCGAGAGAGAGCGAGAGAGCAGGCGAGAGAGCAAGAGAGAGCAGGAGAGAGAGCGAGAGAGAGTGAGAGAGAGCGAGAGAGAGTGAGAGAGAGAGCGAGAGAGCAAGAGAGAGAGAGCGAGAGAGCGAGAGAGAGAGCGAGAGAGATAAAGAGAGAGAGCAAGAGATAAAGAAAGTGAGAGAGAGAGCGAGAGAGAGCGAGAGAGATAAAGAGAGTGATAGATAAAGAAAGTGAGAGAGAGTGAGAGAGAGCGAGAGAGAGAGATAAAGAAAGTGAGAGAGATAAAGAAAGTGAGAGAGAGCGAGAGAGCGAGAGAGAGTGAGAGAGAGTGAGAGAGTGAGAGAGAGCGAGAGAGAGAGAGCGAGAGAGATAAAGAGAGTGATAGAGAGATAAAGAAAGTGAGAGAGCGAGAGAGAGCGAGAGAGAGCGAGAGAGAGAGCGAGAGAGAGAGCGAGAGAGAGCGAGAGAGAGAGCGAGAGAGAGAGCTAGCTGCACCTCTGCCCGTGCTGCGCCATCTGTAGGGCTCGCCGCGCCGTCACGGGCGAGCCGTCGCGCTCCGTCACGCTCAGCACCTCCATGGACTTCTGCTCGGGGCGCCACTTGCCCTGGCGGTGCAGCAGCAGCGAGTCGACCCGCTTGCGCGGGGGGTCTCCAGGCGGCGCGCAGACGACACGGAGACACGGAGACACGGACGCGCTCAGAGACGACACGGAGACGACACGGAGACACGGACGCGCTCAGAGACGACACGGAGACACGGAGACGACATGGACGCACTCGGAGACACGGAGACACGGGCGCGCTCAGAGACGCGGAGACGACACGGAGACACGGACGCGCTCAGAGACGCGGAGACGACACAGAGACACGGACGCACTCAGAGACGACACGGAGACACGGAGACACGGACGCGCTCAGAGACACGGAGACACGGACGCGCTCAGAGACGACACGGAGACGACACGGATACGACACGAAGACACGGAGACATGGACGCGCTCAGAGAAGCGGAGACGACACGGAGACAAGGACGCACTCAGAAACGCGGAGACGACATGGAGACACGGATGCGCTCAGAGACGCGGAGACGACACGGAGACACGGACGTGCTCAGAGACGCAGAGACACGGAGACACGGATGCGCTCAGAGACGCGGAGACATGGAGACACGGACACACTCAGAGATGCGGAGACGACACAGAGACACGGATGCACTCAGAGACGCGGAGACGGCATGGAGACACGGAGACACAGACGCACTCAGAGACGCGGAGACGACACGGAGACACGGACCCGCTCAGAGACGCGGAGACGACACGGAGACACCACGGGGAGACAGAGATGCAGAGACACAAACATGGAGATGTGGATAGAGACACGGACATGCTCAGAGACGCGGAGACATGGACACAGAGACGTAGAAACATTGAGACTCAGAGGTTGAGACTCAGAGACACAGAGTAAATGTTCGTGATTGAGCCGGCGTGAGCGAGTGTGAGCGAGCGAGTATGAGCAAGCGACCGAGCGAGCATGAGTTAGCGAGCGTGAGTTAGTGAGCATGAGCGAGCGTGCATTAGCGAGTGTTAGCGGGCGAGCGTGAGTTGGCGAGCGTGAGTTGGCGAGCGTGCGTTAGTGAGCATGAGTTAGCGAGCGTGAGTTAGTGAGCGTGAGCGAGCGAGAATTAGCGAGCGTGCATTAGCGAGTGTGAGCGAGTGAGCGAGAGCTAGCGAGCGAGCGTGAGTTGGCGAGCGTGAGCTTGTGAATTAGTGTGAGTGAGCGAGTGAGCGAGTGAGCGAGTGAGCGTGAGCGAGCGTGCTGCTGGTACCGATCTCGTTGCGCTGGGGGAGGTTCTCGTCCTCCTGGCTGGGGTAGCGCTCCTTGCGGTCGAGCAGCAAGAAGTAAATCATCTTCTCCTGGTTCTCCCTGCACCAGCGGCGGCACACGCAACGCAGGCAGCAGCAGCAGCACACGGAGCACCCGTGAGTTCCCGCTAGCATCCGCTAGTGCCAGTGAGTGACCCGCTAGTGTCCGCTAGTGCCAGTGAGTGACCCGCTAGTGCCCGCTAGCACCAGTGAGTGACCTGCTAGTGCCAGTGAGTGACCCGCTAGTGCCCGCTAGCACCAGTGAGTGACCCGCTAGTGCCAGTGAGTGACCCACTAGTGCCTGCTAGTCCCCGCGAGTGACCCGCTAGCACCAGTGAGTGACCTGCTAGTGCCCGCTAGTGCCCGCTAGCACCAGTGAGTGACCTGCTAGCGCCCGCTAGCGCCAGCGAGTGACCCGCTAGTGCCCATGAGTGACCCGCTAGCGCCAGCGAGCGACCCGCTGGTGCCCCCGAGTGCCGGTGCGGGCGCTCACTGCGCGCACAGCAGGTCGTGCGTGAGCTTGTCGCGGTCGCGGAAGCAGCCCAGGGAGTGCATGCAGTCGAGGACGTCCGGGTCCAGGGCCTCGGCGCCGCCAAGCGCCGCCGCCGCACTCAGCGCCACGCGGCGCGGCGCCGGCCGCTCGGGCTCCGGCTCGTTCTTGATGCCCCTGCCGCAACGACGACACCAACAACGACAGCACCACCAACAACGATTAATAACAACAACGACAACAACTGCACCACCACCAACGATTAATAACAACAATGACACCAACAACGACAACAACAGCACCACCACCAACAACGATCAACAACAACAACAACAATGACACCAACGACAACAGATGGTCAACAACAGCACCAACAACAACGACAACAACAGCACCACCACCAACAACGATCAACAACAACAACAATGACACCAACGACAACAGATGGTCAACAACAGCACCAACAACAACGACAACAACAGCACCACCAACAACGATCAATAACAACAACAATGACACCAACAACAACCGATGGACAACAGCACCACCAACAACGATCAATAACAACAACAAGCACCAACAACAACCGATGGACAACAGCACCAACAACAGCACCAACAACAGCACCACCAACAACCGATCAATAACAACAACAACAACAACAACACACGATCGACAACAAAAAAAAGATCAACAATAGCAAACGATAAAATTAACAAAATAACGACACCAACAACAATCGATCAACAACAACAATCGATCAACAACAACACCAGCAGCCAGTGACGTACTGGGGCCAAAAGTCGCGCCCAGGTAAGCACACTGGGCCAAATTCTGGCTATGGGCAATTATTGTTCTCATGATTTTTAAATGGGTTGTTGTGCGATGCCAGACAGTATATAGTGCTGGTAGCTAGATAGTGCGGGTGCCTAGATAGTGCTGTGGATTCGCTCTCCAACAAACTGGTGGGCTGAAGTCGTACGTTATACACTACACTATACACTACACACTATACTAGTGTACTACACTATACACTACACACTATACTAGTGTACTAGTGACACTACATTATACACTACACACTATACTAGTGTACTACACTATACACTAAACACTTTACTAGTGTACTAGTAACACTACACTATACACTACACACTATACTAGTGTACTAGTGACACTACACTATACACTACACACTATACTAGTGTACTACACTACACACTATACTAGTGTACTACACTATACACTAAACACTATACTAGTACACTACACTAGTGTACTAGTGACACTACACTAAACACTACACACTATACTAGTGTACTACACTATACACTAAACACTATACTAGTACACTACACTAGTGTACTAGTGACACTACACTATACACTACACACTATACTAGTGTACTACACTATACACTAAACACTATACTAGTACACTAGTGACACTACACTATACACTACACACTATACTAGTGTACTACACTATACACTACACACTATACTAGTGTACTACACTATACACTACACACTATACTAGTGTACTACACTATACACTACACACTATACTAGTACACTAGTGACACTACACTATACACTACACACTATACTAGTGTACTACACTATACACTACACACTATACTAGTGTACTACACTATACACTACACACTATACTAGTGTATTCTAGATTTGAAGCTTTCGTGACTGCAAGGATTCGTACTCTTTGATTTTATTCGATAAAGTCACGTAGGTAAAACGAATTAAAATGAAATAAACAATTAATGCAAGCTTCCGTTTTCAGGTGGGACCAGTCACAGCCAAAATCGCTGCACCAAGTACTATACTAGTGTACTAGTGACACTACACTATACACTACACACTATACTAGTGTACTACACTATACACTAAACACTATACTAGCACCACTCTGCCCTGACCATGCCTCCTGGGACCTCCAGTCGGGGTCCTCCGTGAACCTTGCCCCAGTTCCTCCGCTCTGCCAGCACACCGCATGCACACGATCGCCAGCGTGTGTACACTCTCTGTCCACCACAGTTGCCGCTGCTGTCCACCAGCCAGCGCTATTACACTACACTACACACTACACTACACACTACACTACACGCTACACTATACACTACACACCACACAATTCACTACACACTACACACCACACAATACACTACACTATACACCACACTATACACTACACACCACACTACACCACACATTACACCCTACACCACACATTACACCCTACACCACACACTACGCACCACACTATACACTACACACCACACACTACACCCTACACACCACATACTACACTACACACTACACACTCGTAACGAATTGGCGCGTTGTTTACGTGACAAACCTCACTGGCTGCTTCGGGTGGTGGAGGGTTACGGCATATTTATACTTACACGATCTAACCCAGAAAAAAACTTCATAACTCTCCCGCATGCAGAGGGAACAGACTGATATTGATCCGCACTTTGGCTGTACCGTAGTCTCCTGGAAAATCCTCCTCTACGCCCAACCGCGAGTAGGTAGGGGAGTTCCACAGCCCATCTGTGAGTGATCCACCGACCCTCGCTGCTGCTGCTGCCTCCACAGCGCTGGATTACAGGCAGCCACGTGCAGCAGCAGCAGCAACGTAGCCATCGCCAGCTGTTGCTGTTCTAACGCCACCCACAGGCTACCACCACAGAGCGCCGTTCTAACACTACTCCAGCCAATCACGACCACTGTCACTTGGTGGGGAATGGCACTGCATGACGCGTGTGTGCGCGTGTGCACGTGGAGGAGTGGGTGTGTCAGTGTGCACGTGGACGAGTGTGTGTGTCAGTGTGTGTGTATATGTGGGGAGGAGGAGGCTCGTGAAGGACGCTACTGGGCAGTTGGAGGCAGTCGCCCTCCAACAACAACGGAGGGCGGAGGAGCGACGCTCACAACAACGAGCGGAGCGCCGGGTGGCTAAAACACAGCAGGTTGGCACAGTAGGGGGCACAGGTGGTGCATCAGCCAGTCATCTCAGTCGTCTCAGTCAGTCGACCCGTAGCACCTGCTGGGTCTGCCCCGTGACCTCCTGCCAGCGGGCGTTCGACACTTCACGTGGCCTCAAGGTGCACATGGCCTGGCACAAGCGTCGTGGTGACGTCACCGCCACTTAGTGGCGAATGGCGGTTGTTGTTGTTGTGTGTGGGGAGTGGGGAGCGGTGGTATAGCGGTTAGTGCGCTGCAAACCCGGGTTCGATTCCCGCTCACGGCCAACGCCAGTGACGATTATTTGAACCGGACCTGGGCCTCCCCTAGGTCGACTTAGCCTCCAATGTGTACGTGGTGCGGTGTGTAAACATCGTCACTAGGGAGACAAAGGCTGCCGGGCGTGGTGCTGGCCACCCACCCCCTCGTGTGCCGTGCCGGCCTTCATAGGTGCTCGCTAACAGCACTTGCCCCTGCAGTCTGTTAAGGCTACACGGGGGATCTTTGTCTTTGTACCTGTGTGTGCACCTGTGTGTGCACCTGAGTACCTGTGTGAGTGACCTGTGCGTGTAACTACGCGAGTTCCTGTGTGAGTACCTGTGTGAGTAACTGTGTGAGTACCTGTGTGTGTACCTGTATGTGTATCTGTGTGAGTAACTGTGTGTTGTCTGTGCGAGTACCTGTGTGAGTACCTGTGTGAGTACCTGTGTGAGTACCTGTGTGAGTACCTGTGCGTATACCTGTGTGAGTACCGGTGTGTGTACCTGTACGTGTATCTGTGTGAGTAACTGTGTGTTGTCTGTGCGAGTACCTGTGTGAGTACCTGTGTGAGTATCTGTGTGAGTACCTGTACGTGTATCTGTGTGAGTACCTGTGTGATTACCTGTGCGTGTACCTGTATGAGTACCTGTGTGAGTTTCTGTGTGAGTACCTGTGTGAGTACCTGTATGAGTACCTGTGTGAGTACCTGTGTGAGTACCTGTACGTGTGTCTGTGCGAGTACCTGTGTGAGTACCTGTGTGAGTACTCTGTGCGTGTATCTGTACGTGTATCTGTGAGTATCTGTGTGAGTACCTGTATGAGTACCTGTGTGTGTACCTGTGCCTGTATCTGTGCGAGTACCTGTGTGAGTACCTGTGTGAGTATCTGTGTGAGTACCTGTACATGTACCTGTGTGAGTACCTATGCGAGTATCTGTGTGAGTACCTGTGTGAGTACCTGTACGTGTATCTGTACGTGTATCTGTGTGAGTACCTGTGTGAGTACCTGCGTGAGTATCTGTGTGAGTACCTGTGTGAGTACCTGTACGTATATCTGTGTGAGTACCTGTGTGAGTACCTGTGTAAGTACCTGTGTGAGTATCTGTGCGTGTATCTGTGCGTGTACCTGTGTGAGTACCTGTGCGTGTATCTGTGTGAGTACCTGTGTGAGTATCTGTGTGAGTACCTGTGTGAGTACCTGCGTGAGTACCTGCGTGAGTACCTGTGTGAGTATCTGTGTGCGTGTGTTCACTCACACCAAGTACCACGAGTGCTTCTGAACCTGTTCCAGCTGCTCAGACGGGAGAGAGGCACAGGGGGGAGGGGAGAGACAGGGGAGAGTGGGGGGAGAGTGGGGGGAGATGGTGGGAGAGTGGGGGGCGAGTGGGGGGAGAGTGGGGGGGGGGGGATGGTGGGAGAGTGGGGGGAGATGGTGGGAGAGTGGGGGGAGATGGTGGGAGAGTGGGGGGAGGGTGGGGGGATAGTGGAGGGAGATGGTGGGAGAGTGGGGGAAGAGTGGGGGGAGATGGTGGGAGATAAAGAGAGACACAGGGGAGAGTGGGGGAGATGGTGGGAGATAAATAGAGAGTGGGGGAGATGGTGGGAGATGGTGGGAGATAAAGAGAGAGACAGGGGAGATGGTGGGAGATGGTGGGAGATAAATAGAGAGTGGGGGAGATGGTGGGAGATAAATAGAGAGACAGGGGAGAGTGGGGGAGATGGTGGGAGATAAAGAGAGAGACAGGGGAGAGTGGGGGAGATGGTGGGAGATAAATAGAGAGACAGGGGAGAGTGGGGGAGATGGTGGGAGATAAATAGAGAGTGGGGGAGATGGTGGGAGATGGTGGGAGATAAAGAGAGAGACAGGGGAGATGGTGGGAGATGGTGGGAGATAAATAGAGAGTGGGGGAGATGGTGGGAGATAAATAGAGAGGCAGGGGAGAGTGGGGGAGATGGTGGGAGATAAAGAGAGAGACAGGGGAGAGTGGGGGAGATGGTGGGAGATAAATAGAGAGTGGGGGAGATGGTGGGAGATCAATAGAGAGACAGGGGAGAGTGGGGGAGATGGTGGGAGATGGTGGGAGATAAAGAGAGAGACAGGGGAGATGGTGGGAGATGGTGGGAGGGGTAGAGATTGAAATAAAAAAAGATAGAGGGGAGAGATGCGGAGAGGGGAGATGCAAGGAGACACAAAGGAGAGGCAGGAAGGAGGGAGGGGAGAGGAGAGAGAGAGAGAAATCTGTCAGTGCAAAGTCTCCGCTGGGCCTTCAATCCCGTACGCACAACAACAGCAGCAGCCGCCATTCGCCACAAAGCGGCGGTGACGTCGCCACGTCCCTTGTGCCAGGCTATGTGCACGTTCAGGCCACGTGAAGCGTCGCACAGACGCACAAACACACACACCGCATGCACGCACGGCGAGACCCGCGCAGAATCTCAGTCGACGTTCCGAGCCGAGTGCCAGGATCGTCGTCTGTGCCCTCCGCTCTTAACCCCATGGAACACGCTACGGACACGCGTGTAGCGGGAGGGGGCAGCAGTGCCCACGTGGGGAGGGGGCAGCAGTGCCCACGTGGGGAGGGGGCAGCAGTGCCCACGTGGGGTGGGGGGGGGGGGTGGCAGTGCCCGCGTGGGGGTGGGCGGGCGGGCGGGTGGGGGTGATGAGGTGGCAGTGTCCCGAGCTCACCTGCAACCTCTTCTCGGCGTCCACCTCGATCATGCCACGCAGCAGGGCCTGGCAGTCGGGGGGAATGAAGTGCGGCATGTGGAACACTCCTCGCTTCACCTTCTCCAGCAGCTGCCGCAGGTTGTCGTCGTCAAACGGCAGGGCGCCCTGGCCCAGAGACACGAAAACAAACACGAGACACTTAAAAAAGCTTTCGTCACTGCAGGGATTCGTATGCTTTGCATCTGTCGGTAAAGTCACGTCGATAGGTTCAAAGAAAATAACAAAAATAACAAACATTTTTTCCGAAAAAAACTTACCGTAGTTTGTTTGTTATTTTCTTTTGAACCGATCGTCGTGACTTAACCGAAAGACCCAAAGAATTTAAAAAAATATATGTAGTTTATTTAAATTTTCATTTAAAGCTTTCGTCACTGCAGGGATTCAAATTCTTGGTTCTTTCGGTAAAGTCACCACCGCGTAGAAGGGAAACAACAAAATAATTGAAATATATAACACTAAAATTCTCACGACGTTTCGACCGCAACACGAGCAATCATCATCAGGCGTGAAAACCACAGCAAGAAAATCTTGAAAAAAGTGGCGTCTTCACGCCTGATGATGATTGCTTGTGTTGCGCAGTCGAAACGTCGTGAGAATTTAATTGTTTTATTTATTATTTTATTGTTTCCCTTCTACGTGGTGGTGACTTTACCGAAAGAGCCAAGAAGACAAACACAAAAGACGCAAAGACCAAAGGCCCTCCCCTGCGGTGGCCTTGACGGACTGTCCAGGGGGTTAGCAAGTGCTGCTTGCGTCTCGGCCGAGGTGGGCGAAATTTTAGACACCCATTTGAGGCCGAGTCGACCTAGGGGAGATCGTCGCCGGTTGTCGGTGAGGCGTGGCCACGGGCCGGGGATCAAACCCCGCTCACGGCCACCAACGCCCACAGACGATTATCCGAATCGGTCCTGGTCCTAGGTCGGCTCGGCCTCAAATGAGTACCTGGTGCGTAAAAACATCGGCGCTGGGGAGACAAAGGCGGCCGGGCGTGGTGCTGGCCACCCACTCCTGTGTCTGCCGTGACGTTTCGCTGGTGATTACATCAACAAGCATCATTAGACACATTGCCCTGGGTGTCATTACCAGCGAAACGTCACGACTCAAATTGTAGTACACTAAACTATACACTACACACTATACACTACACACTGCACAATACACTGCACTACACTACACCATACACTACACTACACACTGCACTACACACTGCACTACACTACACACTACACACTACACTACACACTGCACTACATGACACACTACACTATACACTACACACTGCACTATACACTACACACTGCACTATACACTGCACTCTACACTATACACTACATACTGCACTATACACTGCACTACACTACCCTATACACTACACACTACACTATACACTACACTACACACTACACTATACACTACATTACACTCTACACTAGTAACTAATTAGCGCGTTTTGTTTACGCGACAAACCTTACTGGCTGTGTCGTGTGGTGGAGGGTTCCGACACAACCCTCCACCACGTGGGCACACTTATGCGATCAAGTTATAAAATAACTTTAACACGTTTATGACGTGCGCGGCATCATTGTTAAGGCGATTGCCGATACCCCGGTGAAGCCCTCGTATATAATAGCGGTAGAGAACGCATCTCCATTGGAAGCGTGTTATAGTGACCCCACTATAGCGCCGTCTCGTATAGCGCTCCGTTTGTCAACAACGCATCCTGAGCGCTGTAGGAGGCACGCCTGGACTGAGATCTTGTTGTGTGGGTTCACAGAGAGGGGGGTGACGAGGTGAGGGGTCACGACGAGGTGAGGGGTCGCGACGAGGTGAGGGGTCGCGACGAGGTGACGGGTCTCACCACGAGCAGGGCGAAGAGGATGACCCCGCAGCTCCAGACGTCGGCCTTCCTCCCGTCGTACTTCTCCCCCTGTGAGCGCCGCCACCGCAGCCACACAGAGAAGGCCGCACGTGATTCCAGTCTCGCTTCTCGACGGATAACGACGACATTGACTCGCACCACCACCACCACCGCATTGCCACCACCACAGCCATCACTGCACCACCACCACCACCACCGCCCAGCCACCACCACCAAAGCTACCACCACCGCCACCACCGCATTGCCACCACCACCACAGCCACCACAGCCACCACCGCACCACCACCGCCCAGCCACCGCCACCACCGCATTGCCACCACCACCACAGCCACCGCTGCCACCACGGCACCACCACCACCGCGACCGCGCCCCTCCCCCCCCAACCGCAGAGTGGTTCACGTAATAATAATGAAGGACCGTGGTGGTTCCGAGCTCAGGAGAGAGATACTCACGCGGATGACTTCAGGGCACGCGTAGTGGGGGGACCTGCACACGGCCAACGAGAGGGGCGGCAGTTGCAGCGACGACACGAGACCACGCGGAGGCTGCGGTGAGCATGCTGATGAAGGTGGCGGTGACCATGCTGATGAAGGTGGCGGTGACCATGCTGATGAAGGTGGCGGTGACCATGCTGATGAAGGTGGCGGTGACCATGCTGATGAAGGTGGCGGTGACCATGCTGATGAAGGTGGCAGTGGCGGTGACCATGCTGATGAACGTGGCGGTGACCATGCTGATGAACGTGGCGGTGACCATGCTGATGAAGGTGGCGGTGACCATGCTGATGAAGGTGGCGGTGACCATGCTGATGAAGGTGGCGGTGACCATGCTGATGAAGGTGGCGGTGACCATGCTGATCAAGGTGGCGGTGACCATGCTGATGAAGGTGGCGGTGACCATGCTGATGAAGGTGGCGGTGACCATGCTGATGAAGGTGGCGGTGACCATGCTGATGAAGGTGGCGGTGACCATGCTGATGAAGGTGGCGGTGACCATGCTGATGAAGGTGGCAGTGGTGGTGATGATGCTGATGAAGATGGCAGAGATGCTGATGATGATGATGGCGGTGACGACGATGATGAAGGTGGCGATGATGATGAAGAAGATGATGATGAAGATGGCCATGATGATGATGATGATGATGGCGGTGATGATGCTGATGAAGGTAACGATTGCGGTGATGATGAAGACGGCGGTGACGATACTGATCAAGGTTGGCGATGATCCGAACCGACACCGGACCTCCCCGGCGTCGACGACTCGGCCCTTTGCAAAGCGAGCGCCCGGTTTTGCTGCGTGCGTTAAAAACACACCGGGGGGGGGGGGGGGGGGAGACAAAGGCGGCCCCCCCCCCCCCCCTGGGGAGACAGATCTGGGGAGACCGATCCGGGGAGACCGATCCGGTGACACCGATCCGGTGAGACCAATCCGGGGGGACCGAGCGCCTTCTTGGCCCCGCGTGTGGGGTGGCGAGTCCGCGCAGGGCTCACCCGCAGCTCGTCTCCAGCAGGCTGTCCCCGACTTGCAGCGACGCCATGCCAAAGTCGGCGATGCGGATGTTGTTCTTCTCGTCCAGCAGCAGATTCTCCGGCTTGAGGTCCCTGTGACTTTGACACGAAGACAAAGACGAAAATCCCCCCACTGCCCCGCCCCCCCACCACTGCCCCGCCCCCCCACCACTGCCCCGCCCCCCCACCACTGCCCCGCCCCCCCACCACTGCCCCGCCCCCCCACCACTGCCCCGCCCCCCCCACTGCCCCCCCCACACGTGTGTGTGTGTGTGTACACGTGTGTGTGTGTACACGTGTGTGTGTGTGTGTACACGTGTGTGTGTGTGTGTACACGTGTGTGTGTGTGTACACGTGTCATCGTTCATTCGCGATGATCGTGCTCCACTATCCGGACCACCGTTCTGACTGCTGGTGGTGGCAACCTGTGAAGGGGCGTCAGGGTGGCTGGGAGATGTTAACTACATCGCCTGGTATGCGGGAGGTCTTGGGTTCGATCCCGACCCTGACGCCTGCTGCTGCTGCTGTATATTTGGAGTCTGCGTCTCTCTCATCATCGTCACGGTGGCTAGGAGATGTCAACTACATCGCCTGGTATGCAAATGATAATCGTTTAGACGGCGTTGTGGTGACGGCACCGGGGGCGAGCCGCCCGCTCACCAGATGGAGTGACTGTGGCAGAAGTCGAGGGCTGAGATGATCTGCCGGAAAAACCGGCGCGCTTCCTTGGGCGTGAGCCGGCCCTTCTTCACCAGGTAGTCGAACAGCTCCCCGCCAGACACGTGCTCCAGTACCAGGTACCTGCACCGCAGCCGCAGTCAGCCGCAGTTAAGTCGGTCGCAGTCAGTAGCAGTCAGCGACAGTCAGTCACAGTCGGTCAGAGTCAGACACGCGGTCCAGATCCAGGTCCCTGCACCGCAGCCGCAGTCAGCCGCAGTCAGCCGCAGTCAGCCACAGTCGGTCACAGTCAGCCACAGTCAGACACGTGCTCTAGTTCCAGGTCCCTGCACCGCAGCCACAGTCAGTCGCAGTCGGTCACAGTCAGCCACAGTCAGACACGTGCTCCAGTTCCAGGTCCCTGCACCGCAGCCACAGTCAGTCGCAGTCGGTCACAGTCAGCCATAGTCAGACACGTGCTCCAGTACCAGGTACCTGCACCGCAGCCGCAGTCAGTCGCAGTTAAGTCGGTCGCAGTCAGTAGCAGTCAGCGACAGTCAGTTGCAGTTGGTCAAGTCAGACACGCGCTCCAGTACCAGGTACCTGCACCGCAGCCGCAGTCAGCCACAGTCAGTCACAGTCGGTCACAGCCAGCCACAGTCAGACACGTGCTCCAGTTCCATGTCCCTACACCGCAGCCGCAGTCAGCCGCAGTCAGTCACAGTCAGACACACTCAGACACGTGCTCCAGTTCCAGGTCGCTGCACCACAGCCGCGGTCAGCCGCAGTCGGTCACAGTCAGCCACAGTCAGACACGTGCTCCAGTTCCAGGTCCCTGCACCGCAGCCACAGTCAGTCGCAGTCGGTCATAGTCAGACACGTGCTCCAGTACCAGGTACCTGCACCGCAGCCGCAATCAGTCGCAGTTAAGTCGGTCGCAGTCAGCCACAGTCAGACACGTGCTCCAGTACCAGGTACCTGCACCGCAGCCGCAGTCAGTCGCAGTTAAGTCGGTCGCAGTCAGTAGCAGTGAGCGACAGTCAGTCACAGTCGGTCACAGCCAGCCACACTCAGACACGTGCTCCAGTTCCAGGTCGCTGCACCACAGCCGCGGTCAGCCGCAGTCGGTCACAGTCAGCCACAGTCAGACACGTGCTCCAGTTCCAGGTCCCTGCACCGCAGCCACAGTCAGTCGCAGTCGGTCATAGTCAGACACGTGCTCCAGTACCAGGTACCTGCACCGCAGCCGCAATCAGTCGCAGTTAAGTCGGTCGCAGTCAGCCACAGTCAGACACGTGCTCCAGTACCAGGTACCTGCACCGCAGCCGCAGTCAGTCGCAGTTAAGTCGGTCGCAGTCAGTAGCAGTGAGCGACAGTCAGTCACAGTCGGTCACAGCCAGCCACACTCAGACACGTGCTCCAGTTCCAGGTCGCTGCACTGCAGCCGCAGTCAGCCGCAGTCAGCCACAGTCGGTCACAGTCAGCCACAGTCAGACACGTGCTCCAGTTCCAGGTCCCTGCACCGCAGCCACAGTCAGTCGCAGTAAGCCACAGTCACGGTGGAAGGTGGGAAGGGGGGCGTGGGGGGGGGCACCCACAGGTATTTCTTGTTCTCATAGACGTCGTAGAGCTTGAGGACGTGCGGGTGCTCAATGAGCTTCAGGATCGCGATCTCGCGCTCCACCTGCCACGCACGGACGCACAGAGAGGCCGACAAGGCCGTAGTTATAATATATATTGGGGGGGGCACATCCCCCCCCCAATATTCAAATATGCTGAAGATGTCCCCCCTCCAATATATTGCTATGAAAGAGATTTCTGTTCATATGATTGTGGTTATGGTTGTACTTTAATAATCAATAATCTCTGCCATTACATACAATGAAACAAGAGAAGGTAAAAAAAGAAAAAACAGAGCAATGTATTCGACAACTATTAGACATTATTGTAAAAAAATAAATCCATCCTATGTGGTAGTGAATTTTTAAAATATTTTAGGCAGGAAATGGTAGGAAATTCGTTTTCAAATTTAGATTTTTTTTCTGGGGGGCGACCCCCAGACCCCCTGGAAGATTTGATCCCCCCCGAAATGTTGACTCCATGGCTACGACCTTGGAGGGCGATGATGGGAGATGGGAGATCAGACAAGAAGGATCCTCGCAGAGAGAGAATGAGAGAGAAGGATCCACAGAGAGAGAGAGAGAGAGATCCACAGAGAGAGAATCAGAGGAGAATGATTCACAGAGAGAATGAGGGGGAATGATTCACAGGGAGAGAAAGAATGAGAAGAGAATGATTCACACAGAGAATGAGGGGGAATGATTCACAGGGAGGCTACCTTCATGAGGACGGATTCGCTGAGCTTTTCTCTGTTCACGATTTTCACGGCCACCTTGCGTCCGGTCACGCTGTGGATCCCCAACTTGACGAGCCCTGCACACGCACGCGGGTGGTGGGTGGGGTGTGGGTAGGTGGGGTGTGGGTGGGGTGTGGGTGGGGTGTGGGTGGGGTGTGGGTGGGTGGTGGGGTGTGGGTGTGTGGGGTGTGGGTGGGTGGGTGGGTTGTGGGTGGGGTGTGGGTGGGGTGTGGGTGGGTGGGGTGTGGGTGGGGTGTGGGTGGGTGGGGTGTGGGTGGGGTGTGGGTGGGTGGGGTGTGGGTGGGTTGTGGGTGGGGTGTGGGTGGGGTGTGGGGTGTGGGTGGGTGGGGTGTGGGGTGTGGGTGGGTGGGTGGGGTGTGGGTGGGGCGTGGGTGGGTGGTGGGGTGTGTGTGGGGTGGGGTGTGGGTGGGTGGGTGGGGTGTGGGTGGGTGGGTGGGTTGTGGGTGGGGTGTGGGTGGGTGGGTTGTGGGTGGGGTGTGGGTGGGTGGGGTGTGGGTGGGTGGGTGGGGTGTGGGTGGGTGGAGTGTGGGTGGGTTGTGGGTGGGGTGTGGGCGGGTGTGGGTGGGTGGGGTGTGGGTGGGTGGGGTGTGGGTGGGTGGGTGGGGTGTGGGTGGGTTGTGGGTGGGGTGTGGGTGGGTGGGGTGTGGGTGGGTGGGTGGGTGGGGTGTGGGTGGGTGGGGGTAGGGGTGGGTGTGGGTAGGGGTGAGTGGGGTGTGGGCGGGTGGGGTGTGGGGTGTGGGTGGGTGTGGTGTGTGGATGGGTGTGTGGGTGGGGTGTGGGGTGTGTGGGTGGGTGTGGTGTGTGGGTGGGGTGTGTGGGTGGGGTGTGGGGTGTGTGGGTGGGTGTGTTGGTGGGGTGTGGGTGGGGTGTGTGGGTGGGGTGTGTGTGGGTGGGGTGTGTGGGTGGGGTGTGTGTGGGTGGGTGTGTTGGTGGGGTGTGTGGGTGGGAAGGACAGGAGCAGCAGCTGGATTAGACTCCTAGGTCCACATTTGAGCGAGAAGTTACGCAACAAAGCACGTGGTGTGTGGGCGTGGCTACTATGTTTGACTACGCCCCCCACTGCAGAGCCCCGCCCCTTTCCCTGGGAAGCAAAAACAAAGACCTCCCCGTACGAGCCTTGACAGACGTTAGCTGCTCGCTGCTTCCTCATCTCTCCATCTTCCCTTCTCCCCTCTCATCATCACCACCCTCTCATCATCATCATCATCCTCTCATCATCACCACCACCCTCTCATCATCATCACCACCCTCTCATCATCATCATCACCACCCTCTCATCATCATCACCACCCTCTCATCATCATCATCACCACCCTCTCATCATCATCACCACCATCTCATCATCATCATGATCCTCTCATCATCACCACCACCCTCTCATCATCATCATCATCACCACCACCCTCTCATCATCATCATCACCACCCTCTCATCATCATCATCACCACCCTCTCATCATCATCACCACCCTCTCATCATCATCACCACCCTCTCATCATCATCACCACCCTCTCATCATCATCACCACCACACTCTCATCATTCACGACATCTTGGCCCAGTCTTTCCTCCTCCCCCTCCTCCCCTCTCCCTGCACCGCCACTCCTCCTCCTTCCCCCTGCTGCTCATCTTGATCCGTGCCCTCCCTCTCTCCTCTGTCCGGCTTAGGCGGTCACTTCCATCCCGGCATTCCCTTGCCTCTCCCGTACCTCTCTCTTCTCTCCCCATTCGTTAGCAGTCCTTGACTCGACTCCTTTCCCGCGGTGTAGCCACGGGTACAACAGTTTTGTACATTTCAATTTGATTATGAAACAATAATTATTGTTGACGCTAAATAGATATATTTCCCGGAGCTCCGCGTTCACTGTTCAGTCTTTGCACAGCAGTGTGTCGCAATGTTTTATAAACTTCGTATATATATATAAAAAAAAATTGCATTCATTCTGAGCATGATTTGTTTTTCACCACTGAAACTCTGAAAGTTATTTCGCCCACACTGCGTTACTATGCTATAAAGTCATGACATAGTGTGGAGAGATCTTCTGGAATTGCATTCGTCTATCCATTGTTGGATGATGATGTCATGAACCCGCGTGCCTTCTGTAGTCCACGTGTCCCTCTCGCCGTCTCTTCAATGCAATTCCAGAACATCTCTCCGCACTGTGTTCTTACTTTATAACAAAGTAACACAGTGCGGGCGGAATAACATTGAGACAGAGAGAGGGACACGTGGACTACAGAAGGCACGCGGGTTCATGACATCATCATCCAACAGTGGATAGACGAATGCAATTCCAGAACATCTCTCCACACTCTGTTCTTACTTTATAACATAGTAACACAGTGCGGGCGGAATAACATTGAGAGACACGCCGGTTCATGACATCGTCATCCACTCTGCTATGGGAGGTAAGTGGGGCCTGTGCAGGATGCGTCACGGCCAGAAGGGATGGCGGTGTTGATGGTGATTATGATGGATGGTCGAGGCTATACACTTTTTTATTTCAGTTAATTTCAGTTAATTTATTAGGTGTAGCCCTGTGAGCCATTCGGCTCTTGAATCGGATGCAACCGACCAGGTAAAGCCCCACTGAGCTATTTAGCTCTTCATTTTTAGAAGCGACCTGGTTATCACAAATGGTAGCTGAACGAAGTGGGATTAACACGTGGAAATTTATAAAAGCAAAAATACTGTCGACGCGTTATGGAGATTCTAAATGAGGTGGGGGAAACCGCAGGACCTGGAGAAGAATCCACGCGGCACTGGGAGAGAGAGAGACACACCGCAAATATACAACAGGTGTCAGGGTCAGGATCGAACCCACGTCCTCCTGTGTACCAGGCGAGGTAGTTAACATCTCCCTAGCCACCGTGATGATGATGAGAGAGAGAGACACGCAAACTCCAAATATACAGCAGGTGTCAGGGTCGGGATCGAACCCACGACCTCCTGTGTACCAGGCGAGGTAGTTAACATCTCCTAGCCACCGTGATGATGATGAGAGATACACGCAAACTCCAAATATACAGCAGGTGTCAGGGGCGGGATCGAACCCACGACCTCCTGTGTACCAGGCGAGGTAGTTAACATCTCCTAGCCACCGTGATGATGAGAGATACACGCAAACTCCAAATTTACAGCAGGTGTCAGGGTCGGGATCGAACCCACGATCTCCTGTGTACCAGGCGAGGTAGTTAACATCTCACAGCCACCGTGATGATGATGAGAGATACACGCAAACTCCAAATATACAGCAGGTGTCAGGGTCGGGATCGAACCCACGATCTCCTGTGTACCAGGCGAGGTAGTTAACATCTCATAGCCACCGTGGCAGGCAGGGGACGGAACGCGTCCGAGAGGACGTCCACCGCGGAGGAGATGGAGCGACGAGACGGGGTGACGATGAAATCTGATGAAGGCATCCAAATTCTGGACATCTTCATGGCTGACGACGACGACGACGAAAAATATCGAACAAATACTGAAAACACACGGCAATATAGTCATGGAAGAAAAAGAAAGCATCACGAGGTTTGGAAGACGCGGGAAGGCAATTCGGAGGGCGCTGTGCCCTCTTCATATCGCCCAGCCTGAATGATTCAGCACCATGGACAGCGCCCGGAGAGCTTTTAATGCATTAGCAGCCAGGGGCGGATTCGGCGCGTGCATTACGAATTCTGAACGCAAAGTGCATTCGCGAGTGAGTAGTCACGCTCAGCGTAACGCAGTTGACTGTGACTCGGCGGTGATTCCAAAACTCTGGACGTCGCGGGTTTAACCGCCAGACGTCTCGGATGGCGACTCGTATCGATCAACAAACCCTCAAAAGCAGCGGAATAATAAACACAATGAAAATGATTTTCTTTTTCTTTTTTTAAAGCATTGGTTAATTTTGTTTGGTGATCTTATGGGGCCAGAACCGAAATGTGAACAGAGATAGAAAGAGGAACACGTGGACGAGAGGACACACTCGGGCTAAGGACATCATCAACATCGATCTTCATCCTGGCAGTCGATAGATCGCGATGCTGACGTTTGACACAGAGAGGCAGAGAGGAAAAGGGGTGGGTTACAGAGCACACTAAGTGTGGTACTGACATCATCATCATCATCAAACTATTCTTCATGTTAGTGTTAGCCACCCTTCACCACCACCTCGCTAACAGCACTTGCCGCCAGAGTCAGAATCCGGATGTGTGTGTTTGCTGGAGGAATCCGATTAGCTATAAAGCTCTTTTTTCACATATGGGCAGTGATCGGGATGTTACGGAAACACGACAGCACTGCAAAGCAAAGGGAAGTTAAACAAATCAAGTTTTAAAAATATTAAAAATACAAATAAAACTATTTTGCTTATCTTAGCAGACAAAGCCCGCTGAGTGAGGCATGCCCCTTCTTTTTTTTGCAGAAGCGACCTGACCATCACAAACGATAGCTCAACGAAACGGCCGATCGCGTGGTGGCAACTCACTGCAGCGGCGTACTCTCAATAAAGTCAAACGCGAGTTTTCCAGATGTGCTGCGGAAATCTGTCAAAATATCGACACGTCGGTGGTGGGGGCGACGAGTGGGGGGGGGAGGGGGGAAGAGGAGAAATATATATTTTTAAAATTTTCAATTCCGCGGCGAATCCAAGTGACTGCGCGCCGTGCGATTTCGATGCGGGCCTTCAATCCGAGGCCGAGACGCACTGACCGATGATGCCCGTTACAGACGAGTTTCTTACCCACGCGTTCACCCAGAGTGTGGGTTGCGTGCAAACGCGCGCACGTGGGCCTTGACGTGCACCTAGCCTGGCACAAGGCGCCGTCGTGGGTGACGCCGCCGCCGACACCGAGTGGCGAACGGCGGCGGTTGTTGTTGTGCACCTAGCCTGGCACAAGTCGCCGTGGGTGACTTCGCCGCCACTGAGTGGTGAACCGTAGTTGTTGTTGTTATGCACCTAGCCTGGCACAAGTCGCCGTGGGTGACATCGTCGTCACTGAGTTGTTGGTTGTTTGGTTACAGGCGCGAGGAGCGGTGGTGCAGCGGTTAGCGCCACGTCGCGCTACGAACC